AGACATTTCAGAAGAAGAAAGACATGCATGTTTTTTCAAAATGACCATCTGGAATAAATACTGAATAGGATTTCAGTGCAAAAACAGACATCTATAAAGGAATTTTTTAAAAGATCTCTTAATGATAATATTTTTAAATAATATTTCAAAATTTTCTTTTTATATTTACCATATTTATTTCCTTTCAACTGCTATATTTTTCAATTAGAATAAAATATTATTTAATATATTATATTTAATATTTTAATGTCTGTAGAGTTAATATTTGATTATATTACTGAAAAGAAACACATTGCCAGTAAATTTATTTGTTACAATTATTTATGTTTCTAAAATATGTATTAATGCCATTTTGTCCCTGATACTAAAAGTTAATCATGAAAATAAAATAAAAACACACAATGGTTTCAATTAATATCATTAATTTATATTACAAGGCTATTTTTAAAAAATATTATTTTAGCGAGTTAGATGATTACCTAATCATCTCACCTTAATTCAACACTTCCTTTAATTCAACCGAAAGCTCTGATCCCTTGGGGTGTTGAATTAAAGAGGTTCGACTGTAGTTACAAAAATGAAAAAGCGAGTGGGGGGGGGCAAAGGTGGCGTGATCGTAGCCAACCAATAGGAGGGCGCCATTCCAAAAAAAAAGCGAACGGTGACAGACATGAAAAATGAATGACGGATTAAGAACGCATGACTCTCGTAACTGTATATAGAATGATTACAGTAGAAGAATCTTTGTATATTTCCTGAGATCAAAAGATGAAACCTTTGAAAGATTTGAAGAATTTAAAGCAAGAGCCGAAAACGAATTAAGTCTTAGAATAAAAGATGTAAGAACCGACAATGGAACTGAATTTTGTAACTCTAGATTTGAAGGACTTTTCAAAAGGAGTGAGATCCATCACCAACTTACCACCGCATACTCACCACAAAGTAATGGGGTCGCAGAGAGAGTGAATAGGACTCTTATAGATACAGCGAGAACCTTACTAATTGACTCAAAATTACCCATGAAGTTTTGGGCATACATTAAGAATTGTACCCCCCACAGGTCTATCAAGCATCATACATATACAGAGATGGAATGGCAGGAAACCTTTGGTCAAACACATTCAAATACAGTTAAACCCCTCTATAGTGAACCCTAATGGGACAGAGCTTTTGGTTCACTATAGCCATGGTTCACTATAGCCACGGTTTGGCCATTTTTTTTACTTTTCAAAATTTTTAGACCATATAATTAAAGGACAGCCATACACACCGGAAGAGGCTTCCTCTTAATAGTGGTCACTTTGTTTTAATTCCCTTAATTGACCAATTTCCTTACATTAATACTGAATAATAATAGAAATCATTAGATGATAGGTACTTTTTATCATTAACATACATGTACCTCTATGTCTAATTTAAAAATCAAGACAAATCCTAGGCAAAGTTTTATTAAATATATATTCAAAGATATAAAATGATTTTAAAACATCATTATCACATTATATAATACATTGTTTACTTGGAAAAATGGCTCTAACACCTTGTTGCTTCAAAGCATTCTTCAAGCATTGCACCATTCAAATAAAGTTGGTGTTTTTCTTCCATTTCATTTTCCCACATATTCTTCTAGGTCTAGATTTCGTTTTTTTTTTAAACCTGTCATGCAAAACTTTGCTGACTTTAAAATCACCATAGTTAATGGAATAAAAATAGTTTTTGTTTGATCACGGGACCATTTATTTGGATTTTTTTTTTAGCCCTAAAACGTATGATCGCGGCAAAAGTTGAGGTTGATTCCTCTTTGTAGCAATTCTTAATAGCTTTATATTTTATCTTTTATAATAGAAAAGTTATATTCTCTTATTTTAATATGTTCTTAACATTTTGCCTTTGTTGTTTCACTTTGAAAAGTTCTGAAAATGGCCTTTTTTTTAAAGAAATAACGCTTTTGTTTTTAAAATGCCTTTGTTTTCTTCATTTTGGAAGCCATTTGTATTTTTATATTTCAAATTTAATGGATGAAAATATATTCTATTTAATAAAAGTATAATGTGTTAAAATTTATACAACACATACAGCAAAAATAAAGTGCAAAATTCAAAACAAACAATGCCGCTAAATTTATTGTTTTGAAATCGCGATCCGCGAGCTGAAACATGCACAAAATTTGGTTGTTTTAATTAATTTTTTAAAATTACAATTCTAAGTTCGTTATAAGCATAGTATTTTAAATAGATTTTATTATTTTGGGACCGAAGATAGGTTTGTTATAGGGGTAGTTTGTTAGTCTAAAAATCGCAAAGTTCGTTATAACGATGGTATTTTTAATGGAATAAAATTGGGAATCGGCGTGGGTTCGTATTAGCGGGGTTTTACTGTATATGGATGTTTGACACATTGGCTTGAGAGCAAACCAAGAAGAAACAAGTTTTCACCAAAGGGTAGAAAGGGAATATTTATTGGTTATTCCATTAACCCGTAATTACTGGCGTTCGGCTTGAAAGGCCGTGTGAAAATTAAAAATGTTTGCGAAATTTTCAAAATGCAATATTTTTCATCAAAATTTTAGGTACCTTAATTAATGGATTTATTTGAAGAACTTTTCATTTTAAGAGAAATATATTTTGTATATCCCGAGTTATTAAATCAAACGGCCTTTAAAGCCGAGCGCCAGTAATTACGTCACTGGGAATTTTAGCGCCCCTATTATTGGCTGTTTCACTTTTGGATTTATAGACGTTCAAACGCAACAAATAAGTTGAGCATTCGTTTTTTTTATTACTCTTGCTGCAATTATATGCATTCTAAATTGTGTTTTGTGATTGTAATTTTATATAATATAATAGAAGTTCGGTTCCACTTTTGGTTTTTCAAAAAACAAAAATTTGGTATCCTATGTCCCTAAAATTGGAAAATCTGTTATATTACTCTCCACAATGCATTCGACCACAACAATTGATCAAGAAACTGCTGAACAATAAAAGCCCGAGATAATCACATTTTATAATATGACCAAAGGTGGTGTAGATGTAGTTGATCAGACATGTATTCAGTTGGAAGAAGAACCAAAAGATGGCCCCTGTGTTTATTTTTCAACTTTTTGGATGTGGTTGCAATAAATTCAGCAGTAATGTATAAGGCTGTCAAGCAAGACGGTGGAATGGCTCGAAAAGATTTTATAAAGCAGCTTGCTCTACAACTAATGAGAGATGCCTTGAATATGAGAAATCAAGCCAAAAATTTGTCAAGAGATCTGCAAGTATTAATTCAGAAGCATCCTGTAACTTCATCACTTGAGGTAGGCAAATATTTATTTGATATTCAAACGAAATATCAATAATATGTGTTATCTAGGAATCCACAAGCGGCAGTCCTTGGTCCAAAAAACGCAAAAGATGCTACCTATGTAAAAAAGATCGTCGAACTCAAATGCAAATAAAAAAATGCAAAGAACCAATCTGCAAAGATCATTCTATTGAAATATGCTTGAATTGTGCACCTAATCTTGAATAAAATATTTTAGATAGAATTTTTTAGAATATATAGAGAATATTTAGATAGAAAGAGTTTCTTGTATATTTTCATTTAATTTTGTTTAGAGCTCTGTTTATTCGAAAAAAATAAAATATTTATTCTTTGGAAATTATGTGTAAACGTTTAATTTCTTTTTATTTTATGAATAACATGGTTTATTATTGATTTTAAAAGACGGCCTGAGAGGCCGAACGCCAGTAATTGTGTAAGGAAAATAGGCGCCAGTAACTAAGGGTTAAAAGAAAAACCTACAGAATATATGATATAATGACAAAGAGAATCCATGAAGTCAGATCAGTAAAATTTAGTGAAGATAAGAGAGGAATTGATTATGCAAATGATATTCAGGAAAATACTAATTGTGATAATTTGACCTATAAAGGAAATTGTGAAGAAATAGTTGAAGACTTTCTTATCTTGAAAGAAGACAATTCTGTCACAGAGAGTGAAATGAAATCTAAGGAGGATACTTCAGTAAAACCAGGTGGTGACACTGAAAATGACTCAAAACAAACTGAACCGATAGAGGAAAGATGCGTAAAAGGAGGAAGAAAGAAAGGAGAAACAAGGAGCATCTTAGAAGAACGGCACAAAGCAAGACTTGAAGAACAAGAAAGAAAATTGATCAAAGAAGGAGTTTGACGCTCACAAAGATTAAAGGATAGGAATGATGAAAACTTAATTATGGAAATAGATCATTATATCCCGGAGAACTTTAAAGAAGCAATGGATAGTGGAGAAAGAAATGAATGGCACAAAGCAATGGAAGAAGAGCTCAGTGAGATAGAGAAACAAAAAGTATGGACACTAGTACCATGGGAAAATGGTATGAAAGTCATCAATTGTAAATGGGTCTACATTGCGAAGAAAACATCAAATGACGGCATATATAAAAGAAAGGCCAGACCGGTTGCTGTTGGATGCAATCAAAGATATGGTGTGGACTATAAAGAAAAACTATGGAAATGTGCAGATAACCTTGGACTTAATGGTTAGGGCTTACACACAGGGGAGTGTGTGTTGTATATATATTAATTAATTGTTCCACAGAGTGTGTGTAAGCTCACAGGTAAATAGGCGCTAATCGAAAAGAGAAAAAAGTTCCTTTGTTTAATATTAGTTTCCCTTTTATATTTTGTTCTCTTTTGTAAATCAATAAATATAATGTTTAATTAGTAATTATTGGAATCAGTTTCATTAAATATTCTAAGCAAAGTCAACAAAAACCTATAGTTGTTTCTGATTACACTCAAAATATGGGAGGTGTTGATATTGCTGACCAATTAGCTTCCACCTATTTTTTCTAAGAAAATCTTTGAAGTGGTGGAGAAAATTATTTTTTTGGGGTCTTGAAGTATCCATTATAAATTCATATATTTTATATAAAGAAAATAACATCAAACATAACATTAATATATATACAGTTATCAGCGTCATGCACAATTCTTTCCTAATTCTGTCACCGTTTGCTTTTGGTTCAGTGGTAGAATGCTCGCCTGCCACGCGGGCGCCCCGGTTTCGATTAATATGTATTAATACCATTTTCTCCCTGATACTAAAAGTTAATCATGAAAATAAAAAAATAAATGCAAAAAAGTACACACACAATGGTTTCAATTAATATTATTAATATTAATATTATAATATTATTATATTAATATTAATATTAAATAATATTATTTATATTACAAATCTATTCAAAAAAAATATTATTTTAACAAGTTAGATGATTACCTAATCATCTGAATAACTTTAATTCAACCAAAATCTCTAATCCCTTGGGATGTTGAATTAAAGAGGTTTGACTTTTAAATATATGGATTGGTTTAGATTTGAAAACCTCAGATATACCTGTCGAAGGACTGTTGAACCCGAAAGCTTGTATTGCCGATATATAAAAAAAGAAACTCTTCCCTTTTTGATTTATAATAGTATCTGAATAAGACATTTTTTTTTTAATAAACATGCATTTGGGGGAATATGCTCTTCGGTAAAACCCAGGGGGCTAGTTTAGCCTAAATGAGAAACTAACCAAATTTTACTGATCGGAATCTAAATTAATCTAGACTAACCTAATTTTAAGCTGATCTGAAACAAATCCAATTAACATAAATGGCATTAGATTTATCATAAATTACTAAATACAAAGGTTTAAAAACGAAAATTAATTCATAAATGAAAATTTTTTTTGTGAAATAAAATTTGGTTATTTTGAACCTTGTAATTTTTAAATCTAAATCTTGCAACATTTGAAAAGTGGTGTGAAAATTTTTCACAATGACAGACTTTGTTTACACTTGGCCAAAAATCTTCAAAAAATCCCTTTATACTTATAATTATATGTATTTCTACCATCTTCAAAGCTTATATCCATAGATCATTTAAAAAAATTAATTTTCAAGAGACCATTTTCAGTATCAGTATAAAGGAAAACAGCCAAATGCAATATTTCACCAGTATGGTAGATTTAACTGGCGAAACCGTAGGGAGGGTTCACCACTGATAAGCCAGGCCCTCCCTTTTTTTATCATTGTAGTATGGGCAGTAGAAAATTGTCCATGTATTTTCTTTATTTATTTTTACAGTAATGATTTTCATAAGTGTATCAAAACCTTAGAACACATGGACCACACAGATGAGAGCCAACAGCCTGAAACACATACAGGTTGGTTTTTCTTGTAATTTCAAGACAATAGTGTGGAAAACATGATGGAATTATTGTGGGTGTCAAATAAATGAGGTTATATATCGTATTATACTATGTTACTTTGATCCTTCAACCTTTTTGCTGTTTTTTAACACAATAAAAGATGTATGCGGGTGGGACTATATATCATTATAATATATTTTTTAATTTATTTTCTTTCTCTCCCTCTATACATAGAATAAATTAACCCTGGTTCCTAGAGTGTACAAATGATGTCGCCAGTTACCCAGGTTATTCTTCAGAATTGAGACTTTTTGGTTTATTTCCAATGGCAGTGGAAGTCCAAGATATTAGGTGGCAATAAGGAAATTTATTTCAAGGAATATTTTCCAGCGAAACACCTGGTTGGGATTGGGAATACCTTGGAGAGTGGTCGTCTGAAATTTTTGGTATTGCAAAGCGGGACAGACGAAAAGAATGCGATACTTTTTGGTCTTCTTTTTAGCAGTGGGTAAAATTCAGGTTCGCATTCAACATTTTCACGTAGTCTGCTTGTATGTAGCCGCGGCAAGTTAAGATGCTTGGTAAAGTGCGCTCAGGTTTCATTCTTGTTGGCATGGAGATCAAAAGCCTTAGCAAGGTTCAAAGGAGTTCTAAGATTCCTAGTTGAGTAAGCCCTAATGTATAGGTCTGTCCTTAGATTCTGTGTATATATATAATATATACATTTATAATATACAATAATATAATAATTTGAATTTAGATTTTTTATATCATGTGATTTTTTTAAACTACAATCCAAATCTTATCTCATCTTATTTATTTTTGAAATATCCAATTTTGGTAGTCATAATTCAGAATAATATACACTTTAAAGAATTGTTCAATGTTCAAAGTATTAAAGTATAAACAAATAAAAATATTGTTAAAATGGTAAAACAAACTTTTAAAGGCCATACTGTTTTCTTTACGTGATTTGTATTAATTTTAACTAAACTTCGCAAATTTTCTAAGACATATCACAAACTCGCTCATGAGAGATTTAATTGTATAGGTTTCCATTTAAATTTGTGTTTTCATATAAAATATGATTGATTTTAATTTTTATAATTTATTTTGCAGTGAACTGGAACATTTTCCCAGGGAATCAAGCACACAGAGTTTCTGTTCAAGACCTTCACTTTGTATTTGAAAAAGTATATTTTTAAAATTAGCCTCAAAATATATGGTATAAGTCTTCTTTCAGATATACATGAAAAATACGATAAAAATAATCTTGATATAGTTTTCCAAACTTTTTGTATATTATTATCAATATTAAAGAAAAAGTCCACAGATTTATTAAATATTTCAATAAAATGATAAAACAAGTTTGTGAAACAAAAATAGAATTATTACAAATTTGTATATGCTAAAAAGCAATAATTAATTATATATTTCTGTAATATTAGGCTAAATACCTGAATATGGATAGCATCCAATGTGAAACCAGTTATAATGAAGCATCAATAAAATATAATAAAATAATCAAGTCATCAAAAAGAACAGGTAAAAAGCCCTTTAAATGTGACCATTGTGAATATAGAACTGCAAATAGTACTAATCTTTCAAAGCATTTACGAACACACACTGGTGAAAAGCCCTTTAAATGTGATCATTGTGACTATAGAACAGGGAACAAAAGTTCACTTACCTCACATAATTATATCCACACTTGTGATGAACCTTTCAAATGCGAGTATTGTGACTATAAAACCAAAGCAAAAAAATTACTTAAAAGTCATTTGGAAAAACATTCTTATGATAAACCTTTCAAGTGTGACCTTTGTGACTATGAAACAGCACTAAAAAGATGTCTTACAGCACATTTATCAAAACACACTGGTGAAAAGCCCTTTAAATGTGACCATTGTGACTTTAGGTCTGCTTACAAATCTAGTGTTACAACACATATGCAAACACACACTGGTGATAGACCCTTGAAATGTGATTATTGTGATTATAGAGCAAATCGAAAAACAACTCTTTCAGAACATTTATCAACACACACTGGTGAAAAGCCCTTTAAATGTGACCATTGTGACTTTAGCTCTGCTTACAAATCTAGTGTTACAACACATATGCAAACACACACTGGCGATAGACCCTTGAAATGTGATTATTGTGACTATAGAGCAAATCGAAAAACAACTCTTACAGGACATTTATCAACACACACTGGTGAAAAGCCCTTTAAATGTGACCATTGTGACTTTAGCTCTGCTTACAGAACTAATCTTTCAAAACATATACAAACACACACTGGTGATAGACCCTTCAAATGTGATTATTGTGACTATAGAGCAAATCGAAAAACAACTCTTACAGGACATTTATCAACACACACTGGTGAAAAGCCTTTTAAATGTGACCTTTGCGACTTTAGAACTGCATACAGAAATTATCTTACAAAACATTTAATATCTCACACTGGTGATAGGCCTTTTAAGTGTGACTATAGTGCATTAGAAAAAAATCGTCTTACAGCACATTTATCAAAGCACACTAGTGAAAAGCCCTTTAAATGTGACCACTGTGACTTTAGAACTGAATACAAAAAATTACTAGAATTTCATAATTATGCTCACACTAGTGTTTAACCCTTTTAAATATAACTATTGTGACTACATTTAAACATAAGAGTTGTCTAAAAAATCATTTGGCAACACACATTGGTGATAGGCCCTTTAAATGTGACTATTGTCACTATAGAGCAATAAAAAAAAAATCTTACAATACATTTATCAAAACACACTGGTGTAAAGCCCTTTAAATGTGATCATTGTGACTTTACAACTGAATGCAAAAAATCACTTTTGAATATATCATAATTTTATTCACATTGGTAATGAACCTTTTAAGTGTGGTAATTTTGACTTCAGTACTCCATACAAGTGTTTACTTAAACTGCATAATTATAAGCACACCGGTAATGAACCTTTCAAATGTGATCATTTTGACTATAAAATTGGAAACAAAACTAACCTCAAGGTTCATTTGATGATACACACTGGTGAAAAGCCCTTCTAATGTGATCATTGTGACTTTCGAACCGCATACAAAGCTGCTCTTAAGTCACACAATAATATTCACACAGGCGATAATCCCTTTAAATGTGAAAATTGTGACTTCAGAACTGCATACATAAAATCTCTTAGTAGGCATAAAAGGACACATAGATGATAATTAATCAAATAATAGCATATAATTATAAAATACAAAAAGTATTTTACAATTCATTACTCCCAATAAACCTAGTCCTTTATGACCATACTTCCATAAATCATAGTGAGCCAAATTAATTTAAACAACTTTTTTTTTTTTTTTGCTTATCCCTAGTACATGTGGTACAGGCCATGATAATCATGGTGGGTAGTTAGCGACTGCTTTTTACTGTAAGCGCACCACATGTCTACACATGTGAAAAGCAGTTCGACTTTGCATTTACAAATGCCAGAGCCCCGTTTGGCTACTTGCACTCGCTGGTGTGGTTGGACTTTTGCAAGAATCGGGGGCCATTGGAGCATTTTTTTTTTTAAACAGAAAAAAGTGTCCAATGCGGGAATCGAACCCGGGTCCTAGTGGTCGAAAACCAAACAGTTTAACCAGCCTTCCACCGACCCCCTTAAACAACTACGCAAAAATTTCAATTGGAAACGTATTGACAATAAAACATATTCAAATAAAGCCTGAAATTATAATATAATGTTGAAAAATAAATGACTTTTCAAAATTGTTTTATTGGATATATACAGGAATATATTATTGTTTGTATATAAATGTATATAAATTTTATACACACTGAAAATAACATGTAAACTCTGATATTCTAGTAATAAACAACAAAATACATTCTAACACACATTTTTAATAA